AACCGTGTCTCACGCGTTCACGGTCCGCAGAAAAGCAAGCGCGAACGATGATTCTGATCGCGTTGTGGGCCCCAGGCTACTCGTAAATATTCGCGGGGCCCCGTAGATCGTTCTCGAAGGAAGGTGGAAGGGTCCAGGGCCCGGGGCCACATTCTCCGGCGGTCCTAAACCTCCCGAAACAGCCTTAAGACCCAGTTAGAGCACGCGACAAGCGGACGTGGCTTGGTATGCTGCGGGTCCGCGACCTGCCATTATTTATTCTGTCATTGTAGCGCATGCCATGCGCGAATTAATCCTTGAAAAAAGAGCAGTACAACGTTGGAATGATTAAAAGTATCCTTTTAACTCTTTTTTTTCTCGCCATCGCATTGGAGATTTTGTATTTTTCTTTTGCAAAAGGGACATGTTGTTATTATTGTTTTTGTCATTTTATTTATAAAATTTTTTTGTTAAATATGTTACATTTTGTTTAAATTTTTTAATATTTTCGAGTTTTACTAATTTTGATTGAAATTTGCGATTGAGATCTAGAAGGTGGTTAACAATAACAGCAACTCCTTATACCCTTCACAGTGGAAGGGTCGAAACCTTGGAATATATGTAACGTTGTCAATTATTACATATTATTTATTTTTTTATGCTGAATTTGTCGTTCCTGTTTTCCATTGTTTTCTTTTCTGTTTGTTTACCATGTATTGCCGAGTCTTATTGGGTTTTAGTAACGATAACAGCGTTGTCTTTGCAGCACAAAACAGAAGGAAATACTTGGAATTCAAAATGAAGATTTGGAGGGGCAGCGGTTCTCAACTTATTTTGATCCCTGAACCCTTTATATCTTGACACAAAAATGTTATCTTTCCCGATGGCATATCAATGATTGTCGCTTTGGTGCCCCTTTCTGCGTCAATTTACTAGGACCCTCGGGTCCCTCTCAAACGGAGAATGTCTGCCTCACCAGAATAAGAATAAGGTAAACATCTAACATGACAGACGCAAAAAGCGTAGAGGGGAAAAAACGTAAATCAATTAGCAAACGTATAAGTTAAAAGAAATACCGCGAGATAAACGCGCGCAACGGTGAAGATCATCGGGTAAGTACTGTCATTAAACCTAACCAAGGTTTAAGGCTGTATCCCAGTGAGTTTTTAACCGTTATAAAAGTCGGTAAGCTTTACGATCGCAAAATGAATTCACGCTCGTCTAGATACAGTACATTAAAGACAGTGTTGTTACGCCGGTCATCTGATAAACTGGCCCTGCATCATCAACGTTGTCTTCGTCGTCATCATCATCATCATCATTATTGTCATTCTCATCAACATCATCGCTACCGTCATCTTCATTATCATCAATATCACCTCTACTGCCATCTTCATTATCATCATCATCATCAACATCAATATCATTACCACTGTCATCATCATTATCATCATCATCGCTCTCTTCTTCTCCGATCCTCCTGCCCTTTCGGCGTCGCCACCATGACCGATCGTCGTCATTAGACTCCGTTATTATTAGATCCGTTAGAATAATCCGTTGAAACGGACCCCATCAACGCACACAACTAATCGCTCCTGTAATTTCCTCGGCGATCCTTCGAAGACGGGATTATTGCTGGCGCCTGGCGCATTTGCCAGCCGATGGGATTCCACAGGACTTTTTCCGCGCAAGGAAACAGCGATACTATATTTAGTGCCGTGTATGCGAAGAGCGGCCTGTCGGCACGCCTGTTTCCATCGGTGAATGAAGAGACCATTAACCCGTCTGATAGCGGAGCCGGGCCAATTGTAATTAAGCCCGCAGTTTTTACCATTTCGATCAACGTGCCGATGTTCAATCCTTGACTCATTTCTAAGCTCGTTTAGAAAGATTTCCGAAACCCTGTTGAAAATTAATTTTTTTCACTGCAGCTGATCAGGCTTAATGCTAGGTTTATGGACATTTACTGTACAGTTTATTCTAGTCTTAGTGAGATTGTTGTTGGTTCGTTTAGACTTTGGAAATTAGAGGTTCAAAGGTACACAATTAAAATACACATTTGTGTTATTGCCTCAATAAAAATGAACAGAAGCATTCCGTAAATCTAGTGTTAAAGTAATCAGTTGCCCACCCCTTTCCGATCATTCCAGGTTTTGTCCTTGACGATAGTTCTATCAATTATCTTTTTTTGTCGGAAAAGACTTTTCATAGATTAAATTGCAGATTCAGCGAATTTCAATTTACATAGATTATTTTATCAAAGCTTTAACAAGGTAGAAACTCTTCCGTTTATTAGATGTCCTGCTTAAACAAATAAGTCACAGCTCAGACAAAAGTCTATCTAAAGATAAAGTAGCAAAAAACAAAACAAAATGAAAACTGGTAACAATATCTTCGTAATACACATTACATCCATTAACAAACAATAATAGTAAAATGATCTTAAGAAACTTACGTAAAAGAAAAGAAACATTTGAAAACTCGAAAACCGTGACAAACGAAGACTTAATAAAGTAAGCAAAAACGTAGAAGAAAACGCGACGCAAAAAGAAATGAGATGAAGGTGAGCGCGAACGAGGTTCAATGGGCGGTCGTCAAGCCGAACTCGTCGTATTATAATAACTATAACAATATCGAATAGATGTGGAACGCGCAAACAGGAGGAAAAGGTAGCCAAGCATCGCGTTGCGTTGTGGAAGATGGTGGTTAGCGAGTTTGCCGCGCGATAAACGGCTAATTCAACCCCGCGGTCGGCCAGGTGAATCCCGGCGCCACGCCATGTCTGAACCTCCTCGGTTCGATCCGTCAGGGAGCAACAGGTTTGCCCGGACACCCGAAGGGAAGAAACGGCGGGAGACAGCGAGGAACAGTAAGAAATCTTTGGCCACGACCGTGCCCGGCCGGTATTCGAGGCACCCGTTTAGGATGACCGTGGGTTAGCTGGGGGTAGGAGGACTCAGTGGTGGGAGCCGCGCTGATGCTGATGACCGTGACGGAAAACCAGGGGCCAACGACTTCAGCCGCGACCCGGGAACATTTAGAAAAGCGTGCCGGCATGTTTATCGTAACTACAACACGTGGTGCGGCCATGGAAAATGTACCAGAATACTTGGCATTCGTAATAGACGATCATAGAGTACCCACAATAGTCCGACTGATAGATCACAGATAATTGGCCTTAACTTCTTCAAGGATACCGCTTATGCTTTCATTTTTGAAGTTTGACAACCATGTATATGGATACTTTCATTCTTTTCTTTGTTTAATCTTTTGCCATATTCTCATTTATTGTAAGTATATATTAACTCCTTGCTTTATGATTTCTTTCAGAACTGTACTTGAGAAAAGTACGTTAACAATTTATTAGAAAGGGAAAAGAGTTTAGTACTTATTTTATTCGTTATATGTACTGCAGACGTTAACGATTGATAATAGAAAAGAAATGTTTAACTTATATTTAAGGAAAGTAAATAACATTTTGATTTGGAAAAAATTTAGTTTAAAATTTTCATCGCGTGTTTGGCACAATATCACATGGCAAAGGGTTAACATTGAAGGTGAAATATTGAAAATAGCAAAACAGTCTTTCACATAGTACAGATATATGTTTTATAAAAAAACATTGATTTTTAATCAATTAATCTAGAAATTTTCGCACGAGTCTCACTCGTCATTATAGGGCAAGGGGTTAATGTGTTTTTTGGTAATTGTTTTTTTATTTCTTAATCTTCCTTTTTTAAATTTTGTATCTATATATACGCGTGCGAAGCATGACTAAGGAGAAACGAAATCGTCTCGGTCTGTTCCAAGAAATTCGTCCTTGAAGAGGTTAAGGACTGATAGCGGGCAGGAGGAGAACTAATGAAGGTATAATAATAAGTAAATGACTTTATGGTATAGTAAAGCATATTTATAATACTCGTTCGCGGTGATTGTAATCAGCGAAATCTATTACAGGATGTGGGCGATTGAGAGTTCATCGTCTTCGCATGTTTCATGAAAAATGGTGGATTGGGATTAATTTAACCCTTGGCATGCTAAGGTGAGGTCATTCAAGGATCTCGATGTATATTTAGGTGTACACGGAAATCTAAAATTGGCTGAAATTATATTTGTGTGAAAAGAGTATTGCTTTCGCGAGTGAGTTTCCTCCTGTATTAAAGATCAAACGAATTACTTCTTGATCAGGACGAAGAACATGGTCATCAACTAAAATTGTCTTATCTCGCAATGATAGATATGTTAAAAACATTCAATATTCAAAAAGATTTAAAAAATAAATAGTTTCACTCGAATACTATAACGAATAAATAAAGAAACCAAAAGAGGATCTATTTTTACAATTTTTATAAGGATTGCATATTAATAGTAGATTTACGGAACGCGTCAATTTGACGCATATTGAATTTTATAAACATTACTTAGTAAATGTTTAACTCGATTTTGATGGATGGAATTATATATATATTCAATTTGTCTATTTTTAACTGCATAGTTTTCACACTCAAGATTTGACACTCAAGATTTTGTACGTATATTGCGTAAAGCAAATTAAATAACTTTCACGCGTGTCTCTATCCGAAATCTTAACGCATAATATAAGGTTGCGGTAGTTGACACGATATTTTTCTTAAATTTTATTCACATTTTATAACAAACGATTTGTTGCATTTAATAAAATATTGTAACTATGAAACTTGCTATTGAAACAAACGCTAGTCGCGAACGTGTTAAGTTAATCAGCGATCGATCGAATCAATTCCAATTGTACACGTATAAAACCACTACTATACAATGTCTTCCAGCAACGTCCACCGATTAATCGAATTCAAACATTTCCAACGAAACCGGTATCGCTGAAAGCCCACTGGCTCCTGGACAAATGACCGCCGAGTGGCGGACGCCTGTTAACATGGACGAAGAATACAAGGGGAAAACAAGCGAGGGGTGGGAAAGGAGCGGAGGCTGGGGTTTGGCGATGGTGGTGGCGGCTATGGAGCGGCGCCACCGCCACCGCGCCGGTCACATATACTTTCTGGTGCCGTGTAACGCCGGGCGCACAGCGAGTACATCGTGTGCCGACAGTCGTGCTCGGTCCTTCCTCTCGCGCGGGTCCTATAACACACGCTCTTTTCCTCTCTCTCTCTTTCTTTCTCTCTCTGTTTTTCTGCGGTGTACCATACGAACATATCCAGTGAGTATCGTTAACAAGTGGTGACAACCCGGCCGAAAGGGGAAAACCGACGGTCTTCCAGGGAGAGACTCTTTCCTAACCGGGAGCATCCCCTGGTATTCTAGCTTGGCGTCGCGTCCAACAACGTTTTCAACCCTTCGTCGTTACCGTCGTTAACGATTCGCTGATTTGTTTACCGCCTCAAGTGGCCGGCACGTGACACGTTCACGGGTCCAGTGACTCCGATAGCTCCCAGCCCTACGGCCTTCCCCTACCCTGGTAAAGTTTGATATCTCTCGCACTGGTGACCTTGAGACGGACCTTGACCATCGGCGAGACCACTTTTGGAAGATTGAGGGTGAGAGTTGCGCTGCCTGACGGGTATGCTGGGATTAGTATGTCTGTTTTTGGTACTAGAAGTATTTTATTTGGTCTCCTGTTTCGCTTTTGGGTAACGAGTACGAGTTTTTGAAAATGATTTCAATCTTTACTGACTTGTATGTTGTTTTTATTTTTTCAATTTTAGATCTTCGTGTGCGAGAGAAATTGAGTGCTTGTCTTGTGAGAGTTTTGAACGGATCTTGATGAGGAGATCGAGGTGTTTAAAGTTTGGGTTTTTTATTGAATCTGGTTTCGAATGTTGAGAATTGGAAGTTGTTGAATGTATGTTTGGTTTTAGTGTGAGTGTGTGATTTGATTGAAGTAGGTGTTGGTTTACTTGTGAATGAGAAAGAATTGTAGAGCTTGCATGAGCGTTGATCAAATTGCGTTGTTTTAGTGTAGAGGTCTTTGATACTTCTCACTTGTTCTATATAATCAATGCTCTTAACAATGATTTTCCTATTATAATTTTATTCTAAAGAAATACACTTTTGCGAGTATATCTTTCTCTCCACAAAGTATAACCATAAACACTAATCATTCATTAATCTACACACTCTCACAACACAACAAAAGAATATAAAATATAATAACAAATAATAATTCACTGTCTTATTTTACAGTAAAACAACTAAATTACACTTCGTCTAAAGACAAAACGTTCTATAATCAGAATTATAATAATAATTACACCACTAATATAAAAAAATAACACAATTTAAAATCAAAATCAAAAAATACCGAAAATCTCAAATAACACACTAAACTTAATGTTTTAATTTTATGTTTTAGTTGTTGAAATTTTACAATTACGAATTATTTAATAAAATAACAAACAGAAACGCGTCAATGATAAGTTCAACGAATAATCGACACAGTTACACTAAACTAGAATAAAAGCAGCGTGCATATATCCTCCGATGATTCTTACCGGCCGGTCCATATGCTGACCACATGTAAGCGGCAAGAATCATCGCCTCGCGTTCACTGTTGATACGTGCCGTTGGCAGCCTTGCGTTACACGACCGTTGCGGCAAGAATCACTTGGCCGTGTACATTGATTATCTTTCAGGCCTCTTCGGAGAGTCTCGATTGCCCGCGGCGATACTGTAGGGCCGCTGCTTGTACACGTTTACCAATCGTGCACCCGTAAATTGTCACGTTGAACGAACCAGGATGATTTACAACGCTAACCGGGAGAGAGAGCGCGTTGTCTGTTATACGGACTTCACACGATCGCGGTTTATTTATTGCATTACACCGGGGACCGAACCGTGCAATAACACATGGCATTTACGAGTATTTACAACAGCGTTGGCCAAGCTTAAGCTCCGTCGGATCTTCCCCCTCTTCACAGCCGCTTGTACCACGACACTCTGTATCAATTACATGCAACACGCAGATTATTCGTGCCGTTTTCATCGCACTGTTACATGGGTCGCGCGGCAACGATCATTCAAGCGACTCGCGAAGTGCATAGGGCGGACCCAATGCGAAGCTGCGGTGGGCGCGTTATTGTGCTTATACGCGGTGTCTCAGGATTCCTCGATCAATAGCGAATGAATATACTCTGCATTTGGGAAAAATAGAAATATAACGGCTGTTACTGAAGTGGAATTGAGTTTTAATAGTTCCATCGATAGATGTGTTATTGGCTTATTTGTGAAATTTGTCTTGTTGCAATGCTTTAGCATTAGCTGTCAATGCTAAAGAGTAATACAAAATTGATGTTACATTATGTGAAAGTCTTGTGTGAAGATTTGTGGGGGGTGGACAATTGTTTCATTTCACGTAATACTTACTATTGAGCAATATTACAAAAAGAATATTTCAATAAGATGAAACAATTACTATTGAACAACGTTTCATTTTATTGAAAGATTTTTTTCTTGTGCCGTATTTATCAAAATTTGTACTGTTTATTAAGTTGGATAACATTGTCGTGAAGGTTCGATAGAAAGGACTCGGAGCCAAGTTCGGGAATTCCAGCGGCCATGGATTATTGAAATGTCTACCCGAGGTGAAACGAATTTCGTAAAATGTCCGTGGAATTACGAGACACGGGTTATTGACACAAGACTGCGGCGGCCTTGAATCATTTGAAGAAAGCTTGTTAACTAATTTCGGTAATGTACAGGGTGGCGCATGACACGATCACATGGAGGAGAGATTATAGTTCTCGGAATATGCTTGCTTTTTTTCGTCATCGATAAATCTTAAAATAATTTTGGCAGTATCATTCGTATGTTAAGGGTAGTTCTGTATCCTTTAATTACAAGTGTTTTCATTTACCTGGTACTGATTATAATTGAATTAATTATTCAGCTACAAGTTGAAGAATCAACGCATCTTGTCGATTAGATTATAACGTTAATTAAGAATATTAAAATTTGAAGACCTAATTAACTTTTTACGAACGAGACTGTCTTAAACTTCTAATATTTCTTTTCATAAAAAACTAATTTAGTTTTCGATATAATATCGATGTCTTAAATACTAAAAGAAAATCAAAAGATAGTTGAACAATTAAATTCTTCATTTGCAAATTTTCGATTTTAGATATCGTAACTCGAACTGGCCATTACGACGACATTTGACGATAAAGAGTTAATGCTGCAGTGAGGAAAATTGTACAAAAAATGGCTTTACGACGAATGGAATCGGAGAATGGTTAGATCGTCTCTGTTCCTTGCTCGATTCCGTGAAACCGCGAGTACTTTCTTCAGGAAACGTGTGGACAAAATTGTGTAACACCGGCAAAGCGTTTAGACACCATGCTGTTTGACTTATCTTGTCTTATACGTAATTTATTTAACGCTTTTTCGGAATTTTTATTTTGCAAATATTTAAATTATGAAGACGTGAGAGATTGCAATATAAATTTGTGTATTTACACAAATATAAGAATAAAATGTCAACAAATGTATTTTCTAATTTTTGTAAAAAATTAGAAGTAATTTACTATACCGATATGCTCCGGTATATGCTACCGGTAATTCTAGTATTAATCCTTTATCAATGGATGACTACTTTAAGTCATGATAGTTGTTCCGTTGCAGGTTCCAATAAATGACTATACAAGAACATTTATATACAACTTTGTCTCCAGTTAATAGTTAAATTAAAGAAGAAAAGCAGAAGCTTCACAGAGCAAGACTGCAACGAGCGCTCTTAATGAACCAATTACAGCTTTATGAAAATATCCTTTCAAACAACTTGCTTAGACCTATCCAATTTATCTTCGTTAACATTTATCTCTATATCTTAGTCCTTGATCAAAAAGTTAGTGCTATAATTAATGCTATCTTGGTAAAAATCAACAATGAATATCATTTGATTACCTAATACTTCCATCAAGTCGTTTTCTCGTATTAATTTTCTACAATTTTATTTCTTTGCTCAATTCTCGGTCTTAACACTACGATGAAGAATTCATTATTAAATTACTTTTTAGACTTTCAATTTTACAATTACCATGAAAAATGTTAAGAACAATGGCTGGTCCTAATTTTTTGATCAGGGACTGTAAAAGTAAAATTGTATAATAATCTCTTTTGTCACGTAACGCTAACATCGTGTGTTTACAAGCTGTTTTATTGAAATGTAACTTGTATATTATTTCTAGGAAAATCCGCAACGTATCAGTCACATTGAATCTCCATAACGCGTTAATACACTTTTCCCCGTTCTGTTTATTGAAACTCGAGCGGAGAACGTTACTCTTCCATATACGACGCGGCTCGGTTTCTTTGGAACCGGTAAAAGTGACCGTGTGTGCGCCAAGTTCATTTGCATTATTAATGATTCGATAACACATACGTCGTTTTGCAATACTCGTCGTGCGCCGGTGCGTAATACACCAGGTATCTCCATTCAATAGGAATGTCCACTGTTTGCGATGATCCACGACGCGGGAGCAAAGCGATCCTTCCTTGTTGGTGATCCTCATATCCACCTCGATCAAGAACTGATATAAACACATATTTTATCTGTACATTTTTATATTATTTATCATCAACTTTTACTATGCTCGATACGTTTAATTTGATGTTTTCACTGTACCATTAGATTTATTCTTCCTTTAACGTAATTATAGTATATCGTTAAGGCTAGAATTATTAGCTGAGTCAAAGTGGCCCATTTCAGGTCTTTTCTTTTACAGTTATTGAAAGAATATAGGTGGTCATCTGAGAAATTATGAAATATATTTAGGTAAACTCAGATTGGGATATAGACAAATTGAAATGTCAATGAATGTGTTTTTATTACTTGCATTAGAAGATATGAAACAGTCAATTTTAGTGATCGGTAGTTCCAGTATTAAAGTACCATTGAACGAAGTTAATTCATAATTTTTCCTTCATCTAATCTGGAATGAAATTTTTTCTTGATCTATCTCCTATAGAGGATGTCCTATATATTCTGAAATTTTTCAATTCCAGGCTGAAAGCGTGAAACCTATCGACGCCAGAATCCGAGCCAGTGGAACTGATCATCGCACCTAAGACCTGAAATCAGCTCAAAGAACTCCTCGACGATCCCATCTTCCAAAGGAACAGCATCCCCGAATCTTGAATGAATTGATCCGAAACAACTGCACCTGTTGGACGCACAACATCGAAAAACAGCCCTGAAAAGAAACAATCATCATTTCGTCAAACATGACATAGACTGAAGTATCTTGTCCAAGCGTGTTCACCCAGAAAGTAACTCGTTGAAGGATACGAATCCGATAATCGAAGAAGTTTGTAAAGAAATAAGGCATAGGAAAGATTCATCTGTTAAAGGAAAATATTTTTTGACGAAAGAAGCTAGAGAATTTCTTGCATTGCTGGAACACAATTGTTCGTTTGTAGAGGACAGGATAGGTTCAAGGAGCAGCACGCAGCGAAAAGTTCTCATCACCGTCGAAACGGATTCGAGGAGAGTCAAGTGTCGCTTTAGCAGCGTATTCCAGAGCAAGTGGACCACGGGGACCAGAAGACGCAAACGTAGAAGGATCCGAGGCATCAAGGAAAAATGGCGTACGACGACGTTATTCTGCGGATGGGCGAGTTTGGCCGGTACCAGCGCAGAATCTACCTTCTGCTCTGCCTTCCGGCGATATCGTGCGCGTTCCACAAGATCGCTGGCGTCTTCCTTGGCGCGAAGATGAACACTAGGTACAGCATTGTACACAATTGAAGAAAAAAATATTTTATTTGAACTTATTATTTGAGTTTACTAGACATGAAAAGGGATTGAAATGTAGTATGATAGGCAGGGTATACAGTATAGCTTGAGGACTGCTGGAGAAATTAGTTTTAAAAGTGGAGCAAATGATATTTAATCCCTTATGTGTAGGAATATCGTATGTATAAGCATAGAGATTGCTGCATTTGGGGGGTTGTATATCATTGTTATTATTTTTGAATCAGTAATTAGTAAGTAGTCTAATGAAAAAAAAATTTCGAGATTAGTTCGTTGGAAAAATGTATTTTGAAAATTGGAAAGCTGTAAGATCTTCGTCTCTTAAGTAATCTTAATATCCTTTTTATTGTACTGCAAAATGTTATGAATAAAACGGAAAGATACCTACCGCAGCGTTCGACAAAGGCAATTAAAAGAATAAATGGAGGAGACAACTCAATTAATGATTAAAAACAAGTGGCGGATATTGTTTCGAGAAATCGGAACGCATACCGATAATAAAACGCACCTGTTGCCGATCGAATTGCCGCGCGGTTGAGGAGGAAAATATTTTGCATGCTAAAAGACGCCGATTACCACTATTAACTTTTTATAAGTCTGAGACATCTTTTTTTCCGTTTCGCATTCTCAAGGTCTAGCCTCGAAAACTCAAATTTCAGCTTGGAATAAATCAAGATTCTCAACTCTTTTCTATATGAAGAATTCAATGACTTATTTGTATATGTCCTTGAAATGATCTTGAAACAAAAAAATGAAAACACTACATTCTGAACTGTTAAGGAAAGTAATAGAAAAAATTGAGAACAATTCATGAGATAAATTTGAAGTAATATTGTGTACAACTGTTCATAAAGAATAGAAAAATTTATGAATTATTTAATTCTATGTAAGATATTTTAGTATTTAATTTTATCAAACATAAATGAACATATTTCTATTTTCAATTTGTTTTAGATGCTTGTTGCCACATGAAAACGTGGACAACGCTACGTACTTGTTACCCCAAAACGTGATAAACGCGAGTTATCCATGGGAACAAGAGTCGGAACAATGGTCACAGTGTTACAGACGCGACCCCAGTGTCTTTAATCAGACAACAATGGACAGGTACGTCGACACATCGACCGACGACGCGCCAATCCAGAAGCCCTTCTCTCCGAGTGATCTAAACACCCATGGCCTGAAGAAGTGCGAGAGATATGTCTATGATAGAAGCAAATACAAAAGTACCACCATTTCTGAGGTATACACTAAGATCTGCTTTTCAATTTATTTTCTTCACTGGTAAACAGATGATCAATGTTAAAACTTAATACCTCAAAGACATTTCCTAGACTATGATAAAGTATTAGTATATCTTTGTGTTAGTTACTTAAAGAATAAAAAAGTTAAGATATAATAAAACCGTTCGTGTTGTTTCTTTTCAGTGGAACTTAGTTTGCGACAGGGCATGGTTGAGAGCTACGGGGGATTCTTTGTTCATGGTAGGAGTCATGCTTGGCTCGATGATTTTCGGTGGTTTGTCCGATAAATATGGGCGTAGACCAATTTTCTTCCTGTCTTTAGTCATACAGCTGGTCGGCGGTATACTAGTCGCAGTTGCACCCGAGTTTATATCCTACGTTATCTTCAGGTTAATACTCGGCTCGACCACCAGTGGGGTCTTTCTAGTCGCCTACGTCATTGGTAAATAGTTATACTAAATAAACTATTCTATATATTTCTGCGTTTGTTTGAACCGGTCGGAGAAATAATCCTCTTTTAATGAGATCCTTGTTAAATGACATAATATAAAAGTAGATTCTGTAGGTTGTTTAAATATTATAGACACTATAACGTGCAGACAATGTTACCTTTCAGCCTTGGAAATGGTGGGCCCAAGGAAACGTTTGGTAGCTGGCGTTGGTTGCCAATTATTCTTCACGACTGGATACATACTCACTGCTGGTTTTGCATACTTTATAACTGACTGGAGAATGCTGCAAGTTGCCATCACCGTGCCAAGTATTGCATTCCTTCTCTATTGGTGGTAAGAATGATGTTATTCTTCCAATAATATATTGCAAATATTATTATTCGTCGCGTGTTTCCTAACTGTAACATCTTCATAGGTTCATCCCTGAATCTGCACGTTGGCTGTTGACTAAAGGTCGTGTACAGGAAGCAAAAGACCTCCTTCAACGAGCCTCATTAGAAAACGGTGTGGAGATGCCAAGCGAAGCACTGGAAACGCTTCTTAATAGCTGCGAAGACAGCGCACCAGATTATAAGAAACCGTCGCTGTTTGATCTTTTCCGATATCCAAATCTGAGACGGAAGAGTATTTTACTATTTTTCAATTGGTAACGTTTGTTCAAAATCTTCCAAGATATTCCGATAGTTTAAATTTCAATTTTTATTATCTATCTTCGTTATATAACATTACACACAGTGTAATGAATCAATCATTTCTACGTTTTTCAGGCTTGTAAATAGCGGCACTTACTACGGACTCTCCTGGCATGTAGCCAACCTTGGTGGCAACGACTATGTCAATTTTGTCATTTCCGGGTTAGTGGAAGTACCTGCATACACATTTCTAATTTTCACCCTGAACCGTTGGGGCAGGAAGATTATTTTATGCGGTTGCATGTTAATATCCGGAGTGGCGCTACTTGCTATCTTATTTGTACCTGCTGGTTAGTTAAAGACACACATTTTTTTAATACCCTTCTTTGTTTCGTCAAGTAATACTGAACTCTATTTTGACAATACTATTTTTTTAGATGCTCAGTGGCTCGTCGTGTGTCTAGCCATGATCGGGAAACTGACTATCACATCGTCCTACGGTGCTATTTATGTTTTTACTGCCGAACAATTTCCCACAGTCATTCGGAATGTCGGTCTCGGAGCTAGTTCAACTTTCGCTCGAATCGGTGGTGTAATTGCCCCATATGTCATTCACCTGGTAAATAATTCTATGCTTTCACGTTGCGTAGATAAATTACAGTATGATACGGTCCACTGCATTAATTACTAGTATTTCTGGAGAAAATTATTTAGTGGAACAAACTAAACATCTGGTATAGTAATTATTCATATACTGAGTCAAAATAATATCTTCATTATTTATAAAAGAAGTACAATAATAATAGCTGTGATTAAACGCTTCCTGACAAGGACTTTTAAGTATGTACTAATATCTCGAATGATTTTCAATCTGTTTTGCAGTCCGAAATCTGGATGCCTCTTCCATTCGTTATTTTTGGATCGTGCGTGCTAACAGGTGGTATGATGTCATTGCTCCTTCCAGAAACATTGAATAAGAAGCTTCCAGAATCTATACAGGATGGCGAATTGTTTGGAAAGTACGTGCATTTTTAAATGAACCCTTGTTCATTCTATAATATCATCGTTTACATTTTTACTATGTAGAACGTATTATTATAGAAAACCCTCAAAGAAGGAAAAGAAGAAGCAACTAGACATAGAACAATTGAACGAAGTGGATGTGATAAAGCCATTGAAGCCACAAGAAAACGGTGTTCACGAAAAGCAAAACGGATGACAATGATCTCCATGGAGATCGAGATTTGGTTATGCTCAAAATATGTATTTGAATCCCGCCTGATTGTATTCTAGGCAGCCTTCTGTATATACGTATTTCGCGTATATAAATTTTAGCGTGCCTGTTACAAAAGTTTACCAACGAATCCAATTGGACTCTCAAGCTGCATGATCAATCAAACGTAGGTTGCCTCCGACTGAGAACGAAACACAGAGAAACACGAATCAAGGGACTACTGATATTCTCATTGAACGTTTTAGCTCTAAACTATTGAAAGTGAGAAGGCGATGATTTACCTTCTTTACCTAAGTACACACAGCCTTTGTAATTGATAGCACACGAAAAACAAATCTGCCAGAGAACATATCACTTACTCTAATTTCCAAGTGTCATTTACATATTAAGTGCCCTTGAAATGTAAACATGTAAAAGTTTTCCCGAAATACTCGCGTGAAAAATAATAATTATTTTCGCGCGACTAACGCGGATGAAAAATACAAAGACTTTGACATTTTATCGATTTTTTTTATTTGTATTACGACACAATGATATTATCACCTTATTCCTATTTTATACCTTTTCCGTTTCAATAATTATATACCCATAATTTGAAAGGTAAAACTATCAAATCACTACTTTAGACATATGAATGTTAAAAAATAACATTAAAATTTAATTTTCAAAGTTAATTTTTCTCAATATTTTATATTTTTTAAATAACATGTAATTAGATATGGTATAACAAATTTCTATAGGGAAAGCATTTTCTAGTTTTAAAATCTTCATAATTTCGATTTACTTTTTAAAGATGTACTTCATGAAACAAAGGGTAAGTATATGGCGCTAGATTTTTAAACGATTCAAATGTTCTGCCACCTCACGGAAAGCGTATGAAACGTTAATGATCTCGAATCTTTAAAATATATCGAAACTCGAACGTTCAGTTATGTCGTTTTCCCGCGCAAAGTAGTTGCCTAGGCACGCTAAGCGTTTGTTAAACTGAGTTTTGTACTTGTTAAGTACTTGTTAATGTTAATAGTGTTTCTATAAATTGTAAGTTTTAAATAAAGTTAAAATGGACGGAATTGATAGAGATCAAAGACTCGAAGAGATACAGAGGGAATATTTAGATTTTTTAGATGACATGGTAAGTAGAATCATTCAACGATTAAAGCGCAATTATTGTTTTCCTGGTTATTCTTTAGGAGGATCAAGGTATCTATACTACTCTTGTTAAAAATATGATCGAAGAGGGCAAGCGCAGATTGTATGTAAATATTAACGATTTGAGAAGAAAGAATCCCAGTCGTGCAGCAAGGTGAGCACATTAAGTTTAGAACCCGCTATTTTATCAAAAAATTGTATCAGAAAGTTCTTTCAACATGCTTATGCAGCAATACTACCTATAATTTCGATATTAATTTTATTTACAGTCTACTTAACAATTGCTTTGAAGAACACCAGGCTTTTCAAAATGCATTGAAGCAATTTGTTGGAAGCGTTGATACTGAGTATGCGAAAGGAAATATAGATTTTTTTGTAGCTTTCGAAGGAAGTTTTGGAAATAAGCATGTGACACCAAGGACACTTACATCCCGTTTCTTGAGTAACTTGGTATGCGTGGAAGGTATTGTTACAAAATGTGAGTCAAGTTTTATAAATTTTCGTATTTAATTTCACTTATATTAACATAACACTCTTACACACATTGTTGTACAAATGTTTTCAGGTTCTTTAGTACGACCTAAGGTTGTTAGAAGTGTCCACTACTGTAGTGTAACAAAAACAGTGATGGAAAGAGCTTACACTGATTTAACTTCGTTTGAAGCATTTCCACAATCTGCTGTATATCCAACTCAAGTAAATATTTTTTTTTATATCTGTATTATTTAATCCTTTGTACTCGGAAGCTTTTCACTAAAAATATTCAACATTTTCAACATAGACAACACTATTTGAAACAAACTAATGAGAAAATATACATAAATTAAGAAACAAAGCTATTTTATATGAATATTTCACATATTGATGCATTATATAAAACTTAATATTATATATAACACTTTGTAATTTTGTTATATCAAATCGAATGGTGACTGAGACTTATCTCTTGAGTGCAAAGGGTTAAACTCTTTGCAATTCATACAATATAACATAAAACTCATTTATAAATAATATCAAAACTTTATGATTATAACTTATACATGTAGGATGAAGATGGTAATCCTTTGGAAACAGAATTTGGCCTTTCTACGTATAAAGATCACCAAACTCTTACCATACAAGAAATGCCTGAAAAGGCACCAACTGGTCAGTTACCAAGAAGTATTGATGTAATATGTGATAATGATTTAGTAGACCAATGCAAACCAGGAGATAGAGTTCAAATTGTTGGAAGCTTTAGATGTCTACCTGGCAAACAAGGAGGATATACAACAGGCACATTTAGGTTCGTCAATTACAGAATAAAGAACGTGCTACTGAATACAGATTCATCTAGAATTATTTGTATATAAAGAATATGTCTTTTTACAGAACAATATTAATTGCTAACAATATCATGCAATTGAGCAAAGAAGCTAATTTAACTATTTCTCATGATGATGTGGCTATGTGTAAAAAGCTAGCCAAGACTAATCCATGTAGAAATATTTTCGAGTTACTTAGCAAGTCATTGGCACCTTCTATATACGGACATGATTATGTAAAGAAGGCAATATTATGTTTGCTACTTGGCGGCGTTGAAAAACTATTACCTAATGGTACAAGATTAAGAGGGTAAAAGCATTTGCACAACCATGTTTCATGAAAATATTTTTTAAAAATAGGAAATTATATAACTATTCATTTTTTCAGAGATGTTAATGTTATGCTTATTGGTGATCCATCGGTTGCAAAATCACAACTTCTTCGTTATGTCTTATGCACTGCCCCAAGGGCAATACCCACTACTGGCAGAGGATCATCTGGTGTAGGTTTAACAGCTGCTGTAACTATAGACACTGAAACAGGAGAACGTAGACTAGAAGCTGGTGCTATGGTGCTAGCAGATCGAGGAATTATTTGCATAGACGAATTTGATAAAATGTCTGACATCGACAGAACAGCCATACACGAAGTAATGGAACAGGGAAAAGTAACAATCGCCAAAGCTGGAATACATGCTAGTTTAAATGCGAGGTGTTCAGTACTTGCAGCTGCAAATCCTGTTTACGGAAGAGTAAGGGGCTCATTGCTACACGTAACTGATTAATTGAACTAAGTAATTGGTGTTTCTATTTCACGCGAATGTTCATGTTTACAGTATGATCAGTATAAAACGCCTATGGAAAATATTGGACTTCAAGATTCATTGCTTTCACGTTTTGACTTGTTATTCGTTATGTTAGACACGGTAGATTCTGAACAAGATCAAATCATTAGTGACCATGTTGTCAGAATGCACAGATACAGAAGTCCGATGGAACAAGATGGCGAAGCGTTACCATTAGGTAGTAAAATAGATATACTGACTACAAAAAATCCCGATGAAATTGTTGCTGAAAATGAAGAGATTCAGGTTTATCAAAAGTATGATCCTCTATTGCATGGTAATCTACGTTCTAAAAGGTACTTGAGTGAAAATTAATATAATATGAAAATATTATAAAACCATATTTAATATGAAAAGAAAAATTTTATATGTTTAGGGACCAAATTCTTTCTATAAACTTTATGAGGAAATACATTCACATAGCTCGCTGTATGAAACCCAAACTTACAGAAGAAGCTAGCGAAGCAATAGCTTCCGAGTATTCAAAATTGAGATCTGAGGAGTCCGTAGAGTCTGATGTGGCAAGGGTATTTATTTTATCGTTACATTTTCAATGAATGAAATATTAATTCTGTTCTACACTCAATCTATTGTATTCCTTTATTCAGACTCAGCCTGTAACAGCTCGTACTTTAGAAACATTGATTCGATTGTCTACAGCACATGCAAAGGCTCGTTTGTCCAAGAATGTTACTGCTGAAGATGCACACGCTGCAATAGAATTGATAGAGTTCGCCTACTTTAAACGAGTTTTAGAGAAAGAAAAGAAGAAAAGAAGGCGACATGATAGCGAAGGAAGTACACACGAAGACGAACCTAGTAGTCAAAAGAATAGAAAGCGAGTTAAAAAAACAAATAAAAATGGGGAAGAAGATCCTTACAATTTCGATAGTGAAGATGATGATCACATTGATGAAGCTGTAACCAGGGTTACTAGATCACAAAGTAGTTTGTCTCCTACTAAACGATCTGAAGAATTGTTAAAAACAATATCTGAAGAAACGGCATCTGAGAAAACGGCAGAGCTAGAAACCTCTGTAGAAATTACTGAAGAAAGGTAAGTACATAAAATGTCAAAATTGATAATATTTACACTTGATATACTTACAGTGTAAATATGAAAGATCAAGGTCTTCATACATATATTGTTAAATTCACATTAAGAAAATATTCGTTTTTATTCGTTTTTTGAGTATTCCCATGTAATTTGGTATAAGTACTATACACACAATACATATTGTATAATTTTAGATTAAAAGTGTTTAGAACACTTCTTCACAAGTTGTTCCAACAACAAAGGGCGCAATCACTTCCATTGTCCAGAGTACAGGAATACGTTAATAGTGAACAGCCCCAAGTATTTACATCTGGTGAAATTACTGCAGCAATTAACAAGATGTCTGACGCTAATCAGATAATGGCTGCGGACGATAATATCTTTCTTATGTAAATTACGTTTATGTAAGTCATTAATTTTATATTTTTAAAATCACTTTTAAATTTAAATTATGTAACTTTGTTATAAAATTTTTATAAAACAGATTTCACAGAGTACTTTACATTCCAATAATTTTTACTTTCGTATTCTCTCTATTTCACGTCTACTTATTCTTACATATAATTCGACCAGTTTTTGGTGTGTTTGATTTTTCTTCTCCTCAAATTAAAAAGCAAGTTAGAAATTATATTTATCAACATTTATTATCATTCCATTGTTACAGTACAACACATTGGCACATAAACTAGCAACAGTGATCAACATTCATTACAATACTGTAAACAATATTATTTTATGCCTCTAATTCTTCTTATTTGTTGTGTGTATATATATATAATCGATTCATATCACGTAGATATAAATGGATGTGCTGTCTGATTTGAATATACATATCTAATATTTAGGCATTTTTTTCTTTTACACGTAATTTGTTCTATCCATACTTCCGTTTTTGTTAAAAAAATTCTTAATTGTCTAGTGTCGTCAATATGAACTACTTATCAACTAAGTTTCTTTTTGTGATTAATATGAACATATTAAAAACTGGTTAGTGTTCAATCTTATACAATGAAATTGTAACATATTTCGAACTTTGTTCATTTATATGTTCAATGGTACTCATTTTGAACAGTATGCTGGTAATATTATAAATCGATTCTTTTTCTTTCTTTTTTATATAAATAATTTACACGATTAAATTATTATCATTGGGAGTATCAAATCGTTCAAATTTTTACTATACATGTGTACATATATACTTTAAACAAAAAATTACTATACATTTACAAACAGATATAGAAGTTTCACAATTGCCAATGTTATTACTACTTGCTTATCATTATAATACAGGCCTTCAGGACGTAATGTTTCTGTTGTAAATAGATTCACATTACACTTAATTGATTTTGTTCGTACATTATTTATCCGATTGAAGCAATGAAACATGTATGAAGATTTAACGATCAATGTCGATATTAATAATCATTAAGCTTGATAATAAAACCTTTGTAACAGATTAATGTCAAATATGACACAGAAATAGGTGAGAAAGAAAGTTATTTATGATTCAATCTGATATATTAAACTTTCAACTAAAGTTTTTTCAATAGAAAAGAAATTATCATTCATGTTCCTTGTACTCATAGTTGTGCTCAACAACATCAATTTGATTTATTTTAATTAGCACTTCCGTGGTTCGATACTCTTCCATTGTACAAAACTTACTGTGTATCTAATTCTTCGATTCTATACAAATTTCATACTTCAACACCAATCACTGACAGAAAAAATATATATGTGTAACGGAATTATCAAATTATCTTCAATACGTGTAAAAACACCTATAATCTACAAAATATTAATCTATGTGGAACCTGAGTATTTGCTGAGTAGAATATTGATATACGAGGGAAAGAACTTATTAACTTAAACATTTAAGAGGATAACAGCATTAAGTATTGGAAAAAATATTCTAAAAATCAGGATTATGTGATACAGTTCCCCTATTCCATAAGCAAATTATTTATATGTTTCGTTTGTAAAAATAACATAATAAAAAAATTAAGCATTTTATACAATATTCCTTGTACGCCTTAATATAGAAAGCTCCTGTTACAAGATTGTTATGCTCCATTTCTAGAAAATTATACATTCAAAAAAATAGTTATCTTTTATCATATTTAATAGCATTTCAGGAATCATGCTTTCTTTTCTCTGCGTCAAGACTGAAGGTGTTTATTAAAAAATTTTGTTTAACACAAATAGATTCAGGCACATGTTTTTTACCTTCTCTTTTAACTGTCTAATTGTTTAATTTTGGAAAACTTTATTCCCCAATTTCAACCATTCGTATGTAAATAAAAGAAAAACACACACCAAAAGACGTTCAAATAGGATTTAACTTGCACCGTTTAAATTCAAATTGGGTTTCTGTTTCAATTGTCGAACGTGTGTGTTCCATTTTCATATGCATGATTTTTTCGTAAAATGTTTAAACTTCGTCTTCACTGGACTCACTGCTATATGCCAGTTGTTCTTTCCACCATTCACGAACTTCTATCATAACGCTGGAAGGTTTTGGCACTGTTGCTTTTGCATTCAAAACCTCTCGTTGTGGTCTGCTTTGTTCTGTACTCTCTGTGAGATGGGGCAAATTATTTTTTGCCATTGCTTTAAATACAACACACAAGTTAAAGGAGAAGCCAACAACTGAGGTATGTAATTATAACTTAATTCAATATGTAAGAATAACTTACGTGGTGGTCTGTTATTTCTTTTCTTAGGTGGTGCATTCTTATCCTTTTCAGACCTAATCGAAGCAGAATCTGAGGATGTTGGAGTTAAATACTTCTTCCTTGATCCACTGCCTATACTATCTGACCTTGGAAGAACTACTGGTTTCTTTGGTCTATGTTTGGATCCTTCTACATCCTATTATAAAATACATTAATGAAATTTTATAAAAAGAAAAGTAATGGTAAGTTGCTTGTATACCTTTGTTTCTACTTCCTCTTCTTTGTCTACTTCTTTTCCTTTTTCTTCTGTATGCTCTTGTTGTTGTATTGGTTGATCTGTATTTGCGCGAAGACCAGCTACAAGATCATTTTGTTGTTTCTACAATATATAAATAACAAGGTTAATTTTCACTGAAAAAGGTTCTATATTCGTTTTTAATAATTTCATTAAGACCTACTCCACTGGCTCGAATTTTTTTCAGACAACCCTCTAGCCAATTCCTGATTGTTTGTTTAGCAACTTCTTCTTCAATGATATATTCGAACTCTTCTCTTGCCAGCAGTTCTTCAAGCTGTAGTGCTTTTCGAATGTCAACTGAGCGATACGATAACATACTGCAGAAAAATATATAAAGCTATTGTGCCTCGGAAAATCATATTTCTGTATAGTACTAGGTAATTACTCACTTAATAACGTCATGGAAAGTAACGTCTTCACCATTGTTCAATTTTTCTAATTCGTAACACATATGCTTGAAAAGTAGTCGATCTTTTTGCGGGTCAGTTTCCAATCTGCCTTTCAATAACCGTAAAATGAATTTCACCTGAAACACACTAATACATCATTACTTCTAGTCTAATTTATAACAGTCTATAAACTTAATAAAAACAATACTTTCAGGCGTACCCGTTTCATTGGTATGACACCCTTTTGATGATTATCGACCACATTCCAAGTGTTTTGAAAATTCCTGATGTCAGCATATGAAAGTAAAGCATCTTCTTCATTCGAATAAAATAACGAAAAGTTCTCCATAATAATAGCTGTTACGAAAGAATTAGTTTACCTATCAGGAAATTACCGGGAAAGAATCTATGAGTAGCACTGCTGGCTAAAAGATCAGTTGATACTTACCCACCAGAAGATTCAAGACAATGTAAGTGATAATTACGTAAAATGTACAAAAATAAATTAAGGAAGCATGAAAATTGCCGCAATCAGTTTCCCAATAATTAGCAGCTGGAGTGCAATACGGTGGTTGTATCATGCAATCGTGCATTATTTTATTCCAGTCTTCTCCTGTGACGATGCGAAAGAGCATAGCAACGCCAGTTACAGGTGACTCAAAATTGGCACGTCTAAATAATAAAGATCTTACTTAAGATCATATCGTATCAAAAACACCTGCGCTATTTCATTATCCGGAAAGAGAAGACACTGAATTCAAATTATTGAAGTTGATGAGTATGTAGTCATATCAATTGTATAGTTGTATAGTTCTAAATCTTGCCGTTCTTATTAGTAGATGGCGTGATAAGTATATGATGTACGTACTACTGAATCACTTGATGGCTAGGCTGATGAATTTGGCTGATTAATCAGTTTTCATTTGTTCTCGCCCAATTTTTTTGTTGGTTTTATTTCCTAATTTCTTTCATGTTTTATCCGTACTTTGAACCCATCAATTTCCACGATTTGAATATATTTTATCATTGAAAGTGTCTTTTCCTTGTTCCGTATTCTGCTGTAAAATTAACACATTACCTTCCTATACCTTCTCCATATTTTACAGTTCCAAAGACGATCGTGCCCGCTAAGGCATAGAAGAAAACGAGGAGAAACATGCCAAATATGATGAAGAAACTTTTACAAACGGATACTCCGACCGTCAACATTAACATTTTGAGGGTCGTATGTTTGCCAGTGATGGTGAAGAATCTAAGTATCACGACCATAAAGCCAATCACATACGACAGATCGTTCTGCAAGAAATCACTTCTGATCATTCACAGTCGATATATATATATATATAAATAATAATAATAAATAATATAAATAATAAATAATATATATATATATATATATATAATTAACAACACCGAAACGAAACATCAATTTTCTTTGTTTTAAATCGATTACCGGGTAGACACATACCTTCATTGTGCAATGAATGACGATCCAAATAACACCGACAACTGTCACGAGCAAATCATATCTGTTTCTTCTGGACTGCCAATAGCCACGTGGTGTAAAAGCAATATTTTTCATGATCACTTCCACGAGGAAGATCAGTGTCAGAATCGTGGACACCGTAGCGAGTGCTTCCGTGTGTTCCTCCTCGATTCTCCACTTGAGTGGACAAGATGAAAGAGAAAGAAAAAGGTATGTCGTTACGGCAATAAAGACACGTGTCGGTTTACTTTTACCACGGTCTAATGGTAGCCGGCAAGGAACAAATGATTCAAGGTAACAGTCTTTTGCGAATTGAGTCAAATGCTTCCTGTCTTTAACGATTACTAGTGTATCAAAATTCTGTTTAGTATTTGTGATTGTGTGTTGTGTGTTGTCATTAGATTTATAAGGAGCGCAATGTGGGAGGTTAAATGAAAATTTGTACAACTCACAGAAACGCATAGAAGAGCACTGTTTATGAGTACCATGACCGCAATGAATCTTTTAAAATAGATGTTTTGAGTGATGTCATAGATAAAGGCTCTGAATTTCTTTCCATCCGGTCTAGGTGGTAAATGCAACGGCTGAGCAATCTTCAGTCGCTTTTTTAAATCACACCTATTCACACAACAACGTACAATCAGATTCTTGATATTGTTAATGTACCATATAAAGACAGTTTTAATTGATTAGTTAAGTTTTTTTACCATCGTCTTTGATCGACAGTGAGTAACGCGGTTCCTTTGTTTTCAGAATAATTAGCAATAACAACACCGACGAACAGAGTCAAACCGATCATACATCCCAAAAAGATGTAGATGTGAATATAAATGGCGTGGAGCTAAAACGTGATTGGACAATATCATTATTATGGTTAGTTTGCGCGATATCGTCGTTTGTCACCTCAAGGTGAGTAAACTTACTGGACCGAGTGCCTTGATAAGAACATCTCTAACGTCAAGCCATCCTTTAAATGAGAGCACCTCAAAAAGTGCCATCAGTGCATCACCGATATTATCAAAATTAAATCGTCTAGGATTCGCCCTAAAATATTTTCATTCTCTGTTTAAAATTATTCTTCAATCCACGAATGATATTTTTATACTTTAATGCCTACCAAACTCGTGGCACTAGTATAGATGGATAGCTCTCATTCTGACCCGGTCTCAGTTTCATTTTCGTCACGAAAACTCTCCTCATAAATACACCGACACACTCTTCCCGTCTCAGGATAGTCGGATCATTGCAACGAGCTAACCGACCACCGTAAAGTTGTACACCGTAACTTGCGAATATAAACATTAATAGGATCAACAGCGTAGACACCTAAAAAGCTTCTTATTCATTCTTTGTCTGAACTTTTCGCGTAAAATTCGTAATATAAACAACCTGTACTAAGGGCTTTAACTCAAAATAAAAAATAATTCTCGATATTAAAAATTCACACGAATGAGAATATTATCTAGATTATTTTCAATATTTGGACATTCTTATGGAAGGTTGTTTTTATCAGAAATTCTTCAAATTATGGCAAAACTATTTACCAATAAGATCTCTTTGAACCCCCTGCACAATTCATACACGACTTTCCTCATGTGTGGGACAAGCGTGAATATTCTCAGCGGTCTGACGCAACGTAAAATCATTAAAAGTTGTGCGCCAGAATTTGGTGGCACGCTTTTCGGCATCCAGCAAAGGAACACAAGGCTGACCTGAATGATCGTCGAATCATCATGAAACGATTCAGAGAGGAACTGAAAGATTTCTCGGATATTTTGGATGTGAACGTACGACATAAATGAAAACGTCCAAAACAGAGGCAACGTCTTTGATGTAGGCCTTCGGCGTAAAAAATAATCCGTCTGCCAGAATTTTAAGCGCCAATTCGATGCTCATGAAGATAACGAAACCGTATTCGGCGATTTGCAACGCAGGTACCTCCATAACGCGGTAACGCGGCGTTTCGAACATCATGGAGATGCAAGACATAGTCGTGGCGAAGATCATCACCCAATCTAAGTACGTGACTAAACCAAGGAAGTTGCTAAAAAGCGTGTAGTTAAGTTTGCCGTTGTTTATTTATTTTCGGTTAGACGTTCAAGCAATTGTTCTACAACATATCAAAGCAGCCATTTGAAAACAGAAGCACTTACTGCAAGCTTTTGTACTGAACTTTCCTTTCTTTCCCAGTCAACGGATCTTTCACGTTTGTGTCGTATCTCGCGTAAACGAGCGACTGGCAAATTTTCCGAAATTTGCTCTCGCGTGGCACCGCGAACAGCGGTGTGTCAAAGAACGGATGATTTTCGCGCAAATCTTCCTCACGTTGATTTCTACATCGGGTGCAACGTGGTGAGCGTATAAATTCCAAAGACGTGGTAAAAGTGATTTATCGCTAGGAGAGAGAAAGAGAGAGAAAGAGAAAGAATTGATTGTTTTACCTGCGCATCTCGGCCTGCTGCCTCTTAGCTTGCAGTAATTTAATGTCCAAATCATGCGGTCTACTGCGAGAAGAACTCACTCTGTTTATCCCTCCAATGTCACCATTCTCCATCAGGTGTTCATACGTTTGCTTTAGCTTGATGGATCCGCTACGAACACTCCTCCTGATTGACCTGTTGGTCATTTATGAAAAAGCGATTAATCTTTTTATAATTAACACCTTTTAAAATTTTATTCACTTTCTTTTAAGTTTTTAGATGTTAAAGTTTAGACATAAGTATTCAAATCTTTTTGGACGAGGATTATAGAATTATTAATTCAAATAAATTATCCACTAATTGCTTCAAGTCATAGAAGTTTTTGCATCTTCCTGTAACTTACTTTTTCTGATCAATGCGTAGTTGTTTGGCACTATTAACAGTACCTTGAGGCTTTAAAAGGCCTTTTCCTGGTACTGGTATCATAGCGGAATCACCTAGTAGAAGCCTCTGGTTGTTGGAGTCACTAGGAAACAATATTGATGTAATTATAGGTCAGGAAACATGACAATGAATATTTCAAAATTATTGAATGTTATGCATACTTTATAATATAAGTAACAGCTGCCTTTTTAAGGCTAGTAACGACGTTTCGTACTTTCGGTAAATTATTTAAAATCTTAACTGGACGTTGCTTTCTATATATCATTTTTGAGTCAAAAGTTTCATTTACTTTTTTCACTCCTTCATTTTCTTCGTTTTCCATCTCAAAAACAAATTGTCGCATAAAGCTTTCACGTACCTGCATAAACAATTTGATGTAATTATTTTATCCACTGTAAAAATTCAAAATTTTAAAACTGGAGTACCTTTGGAAGACTAAAATCTGATGGTACTTTGTGCAAGCACGTCATTTGAGGGCTGTCAGGAAATTTTTCAAAAATTCTTAATCTAAATGGCAGAGTTTCTTTTATTTCTGCGCTTTGTTCACGAAATTTCAATTGTTTCAATTTCTTAATGTCTTCATCCAACTCAAGATTGTCCAATATGACTGCTACGAACAAACTGAGCACAATCTTAAAAATGAATAATCGGTCAATGTATAATTACACCGTTGTTAAATTGCTATAATAATGAATTCATTTATTATTACCAGTGTAACAAAAAGATGGTACAAAATAAAGTAAACAGCTACAAAGGGTCCCATTGTTTCATGAGTCCTAAGCATTGTTTCATCCATAACGTCAACCCAAGCCTCTTGTGTAAGGATTTGAAACATAGACATGAATGCCTACATGAGAAATTATTAATAATTTATGTGAAATGTATATCTGATTTATATTATATATTACCTCTGGAAAGGTTTCGAATTTGGTAAAATCGCAGAGGAAACAAAATAACTGCATGGAAATACTGGACGATATAACCAGCAAACACATAGTAAAGATAATAAGGCTGCCAAGCTTTTTTCCAGGCCCAAATATTTTATATACAAAATCTTCCAACATTGGAGACGCTTTGATAAGTCTAACTACCCTCAGAACCTAGTTTCGCAAAAAAAAATATTTAATTTAAAATTGTGTACTCCAATTATGCTTCTATTCTTCGTAAACTTTTCTTATTTTCTGTTTCAGAACAAAATGGAATGGAAATTAATGTAGAAACCTGAAAATATGTGAATCCAGAAAGATAGAAGAACGGAATGATGTGTATGGTTGTACCAATTGCCAGCAGCAGCTCGAATTTGTGAATTGAATGCTTGTAATAACTGCGGAATCCAAGGCACCATATTTTAAACAATGTTTCTAGGTCTAAGAATATCGTGAACGCGATCTCAGTGTAATAATAATTGTCGTAGTAAGTATGCCTTGGTTTTTCATCGTGCTTGAAGCTCATCGTAGCAGTGGTGATACCGTTTGCTAAAATAGCGCACATCACTACCATTCGAAAATGAGGAGACCTGAGAATGGCATGGCACACTGGAGAAGCCAGGCCACCATGTTTGTTTTCGTCTAAAGTTACCAAATTCCAACCGTTGTCATCACCAGTTAATATCTAAAAAGAGATATTTAAGAAATTAATGCTTTATTTCATATAATTTTCTGTAATTTGACTAATAAGGAACACATATTAACGAAACAATTATTGACAAATGACTAACTTGTGATGCAGTACTGTTACTGATGTGTCCTCTAACACCCCACATTTGCTGGAACTGTACACGTATCTCGTTAAAAGTTTCCGTGATAACAGCGATGAACACATTTTTAACAAGCCAAGCTAAGAAAAATATCATTGTACTGAAGTAAAGAACTGCACGCCAAGCCGGTAAGCTATCAATAGCACGGTACATAATGAAAACCCAACCCTCTTGTGATGCAGCTTGATAAACAGTAAAAATACTCGTAGCTGAAAAGTGGAATTGTTTCTGTTAAATATTAATAAATCGCCAAAATCTTTAAAAATGTTTACTGTACATCATTACCAAATTCATCGAAACCATTGAAACCCATAATATATTTTGATAACTCGAGTTTCATGCAGGTCATCCCTTCTGGACATTGATATCCTGATTCAGGATCGGTCGAGCAGAATGTATCTGGAATGGCCAGACTATTTATTGTTATGTGTTTCGGGTCAGTAGTATTAAGAACACAATGATTTTTCAATTCTCCAAAAAACTGAACACCCAGCAGGCCATACAAGGACATGAAGAAGAGGAAGAAGAGGGTCACGTTGTATATTTGTTGACTCGATCGTCTATAATCACCCAATAAACAATATAAGTATGGGATGTTGAATGAAAGCTAAAATACCATATAAGATTCCTTACTTGAATATTTGATTAATTCTAGCTTTCGGCATGGAGAACTTAAGGTAGACTCTAAGGAAGCGTATCATAATCAAAGGTCTTGGTGCCCGTAATATTGAAACGTAACTGAATTTCAAAACAAATCCTAGCATCTCAAACATTTGTAAAATTACGGACAACCAAAGGAAGACAACCATACTCCCATCAAATTGGCACCAATGGTCTTTCAAGTAAGATTTATCCTTCTGCAACGAAACATGCAATATTTAATAATAAGCTAAAGTAAATTATTTCGTAATGGTATCGAGTTACCTTCAGTATACCTCTGATGTGCATCTTAGCGATCATTTCAGCAGTAAATAAAAACGTAACTATTAAATCACAAACAAAAGTAACATATTGAAGGGGCGGAATGTTTTCAAAAGTCTTAGGAGTATTTAAGCAGACTGAAATTAATGATACCAGGGCGCAAGACCTCATCAATCTTCTAACCCACAACTGAAACAATTAAATAATTAGTATCGTATCTTAACAGACATAAGGTAAATTAAGTTTTTCATTTCATTCATTTAGAAATCACCTTGTTCACCCACTCTATGTCAGTGCTCTCATTGAGGGACTCCTCTGGCCCATAATCGGCCAAGACAGGTTCCCCCTTGAGGCTCTGCTTGCGCCCCAGCATCATAATAGGTATTATGTTTGCAATGGTGAGGCCTGTAACAAACAAATATTTTTTATTCATTCATATGTTCAGATATAATAATTATTTTTTATTGGGATTTAAATTTCTTGTTAATAAATATTTTAATAGCATTTGATGATACGATAAACAATAATGAATGAAAGAAGTTGTGAAATGCAAAGTCATATGCCTAAGAATATACAGTTCTTCATATAAAATTCTACAATGTGAATAAAGATAAAAAATGTTGTAATATATAAAGCACAACTATTTCTAGTATCATACTCGTAAAAATAATTTAATTAACGATGTTGACCTACCTTTTTTTTAACCGTTTGGACGAAGACAAATATTGCCTTTACGGCAATTTATATAGACTACATTTCAGTATAAAGCAACGATAGAGCTTAACGTGTAATAAACATTTTAGCAGTAACAACAAGCTGGTAGCATGGCGGTAAACATTTTTTGGTTGAGTTCTGCAAGCTTTCCAGCGACAGTGAAAGCTCCACGAGCATGAGCAGTTAAGAGTTTGCTGCCGTGAGTAAATCAATATTTCAAATCTTGAATGAACGCGCGCCTCACGACGTATCCTCGAATTAACCAAATATTTTACTTTCAACGATTTTGACTCAAATGAATTTTTTTGTTGCATGTACGACTAACAGATTAAAAAATATTTGTCATATGTAGCTATAAATGCCTTGGTAAATCGGTATTTTTATTTAGAAAGAATTTTATGCAATACATAAATTTACGAGAAAATACATTTGTAAATACATATAATATATAAAGAATATATTTTTGTTTTATTAGAAAATATAAGGAATGATTTATACGTTATCATTTCACTTTCCTTTAAAAATAATAGTGTAAAGTAGTAATATGAAAACTGTTCTTCAGTTGTAGTCAATACTTCTTAGTTATAATATTAACATTAATATTAATTAAGTCAAGACTCTTTTATGGCTTTATCCGCCGAAGTCAGCATTTTTGAAAATTCAGAGTTCGGATGAGATAAGAGTATGGATGGTGTATCGAATTCAATTATCTGCCCATTTTTCATAACAATAACGCGGTTACATGAAACCACAGTCTTTAAACGATGAGCAATTGTCAGTACGGTACAGTTTGAAAATTCATTTTGTATTGTACTTTGCACTGCCTCTTCAGTCTCAGGATCGACAGCAGCTGTTGCTTCATCCAGTATCATTACCTACAATTAATGGAATTAAAATTATTGTTACTAAATTAATTTAATTTAACAATACACAGTATGAATTATTCATTGCAGTTCTATATTTCAAAATGCAATGAATACGAATAACAAATACTATACTTTAGTATTGCGTAAAAGTGCTCTGGTTAAACAAAGCAATTGCCTTTCACCAACACTCAGATTTTTTCCTCCGACTTCAACAAACGCATCCAGTTGTCCTAACATATGTCTTACCCTCTCTTTCATTTGTGTTTTTTCTAAAGCGCTCCAAATATCTGAGTCACTGCATTGCTTAAATGGGTCTAAATTTGATCTACAATAAAAATGAATAATTTCTTAAACCATTTTTTAAACACTTTAACCTTTTAAAGATAATTACCTGATAGTCCCGCTGAATAAAACAGGATCTTGAGGAATTATAGATAGTTTACTTCTCAATAACTCTAGGTTTATTTTCGCTATATCTACGCCATCAATTTTAATTTTCCCAGATGAAATTTCAACTAATCTGAACAAAGCAACGACAAGAGAACTTTTTCCAGCCCCCGTTCGTCCAACGATACCTGAAATCCATTACATCGCGCCCTAAATAATTATCAGTAAATATAAGAATCATTTTTTAAGTCACTCCTACCTATGTGTTCACCGGCGTTAATAGTAAACGAAATATTATTTAACACTGGCAACAGTTCTTTTCTATAACGCAACTGAACTTTATGGAATTCCAGCTTCCCATGAGTTGGCCACTCATTGGAAGGGTTTACAGGAGCTTTGCTGACGATGCCTTCCTTTTGTAAAGTCTGTATTATTTATGCATATACCTGGATTTAATTAAAATATTTTGTACGATGTATTACTAAAATGTATATTCGTTTACTGACTCTCAAATAGTAGCCTATTCTTTCGACACTTATGAAACGTGTTTCTGTTTCCGCCATTAACCGTACAGTATACTGAAAAACACCTGTCATTTGGGTGGAATATGCCATTGCTAAACCGGCGAAAGCTGGTGGTATCTGATTTTTTAGCGCTATCACAAGAAAGGCGGTGATAGATGAGGAAACAATTGCCAAACTATCGAGCCTTGCAGCTGACCATCTCATAACTGACTGACAGAGGTAAAGACACAAATTATTTAAGTCAAACAGTTCCTCAAATCTAGAAAATAATAACTTGTTAAGAACTTGTAATAATCGCAACATCCAATTTATTATCTGTTCAAATAATTTCAATGAAAATAAACATACTTATTTATAAAAGCTTTCTCCTTTTGAAACGCATGAATGGTGTTCGTGCCATGTACAGTAGTCGTGACAAAACTTAGAATGGGTGATTTCGAAGTACTTTCCATCCGCTTAAAGTCTCTCATTGCAACTCTAAAAACAATTTTCTATATTTAAATGCTCTTCGATATTATTTAAAAATCTGTTTGTTTTACCTAAATATTCTACTAATGTAAAAGAAAGTGGCCCCAAGAATAATTAATGGCAACGAAAACCATGGTATTATTGAACATATGAAAATAATTGGGAAACTGCATGTGAAGAAATTCTGTACCATATTTTCTACGGAAATTGGAATGTAGTTGTCCACTATAATAAAAAAAATAATAAATTAGACAAGTAAGATAATTTCCATTTATAATACCGGTAGAAATATTTAAAAAGCTTTCACCTTCGTCCACATCACGGCTGAAAATATTTTGTATTCTACCGCTAGGCGTGGATTCAAAGAATGTTAACGTGGATTCAATCATTTTTTTGAACACTTTATTATGTAGTGCCGTCGAAGCACTTATTGTAGTATAGCTAATAATTAAACCACGTATCAGACTTGTAAATAAAATAGCTCCAATGCAGGCTCCGTAAATATTTTGATAATATGTAAAGTCAGGATTGTCATTTAAGTTTTCTGATACTATAGTTTCATTAGTTTTAGGGTCGGTAATGTTCTTGAAAAAATGATACAATAGAGATATAAGACATGCTTCAGAAATATATTTTACGTTACAATTATTATACGCAAGTATAATAATTCTATAAGAAATATATGATTAATTACGTTTATAATCAGTAGATTCAAAAAATTCAAAAAGACACGAAATTTAATTTAAAGTTCATAATTTTTTACAGTTTCTTATTGTCCTGAGAATATATTGAATCACTGTATATAATAGTATAAAAAATACTTACTCCACCACCAGCCTTAATCCATATAGCTAACCACCAAGAACTAAATGTAGAGCTTCCTACGTTCAAAAAAAGTGTACAAAATACTAAAACTCCTATAAAATAACCACCCGCAGATTTTATGTATACGTGGTACGTGTGCGCTTTCACTGTACCCGTTTCCACTTTTTCTTCCGTGGTTAAAGACGATCCTAAAAAAATACATATAAATTAAATTATATTCAAATTATAATTGATTTGTGACACATACCTCCTCCAGACATTCTATTTGATACTTCGCCATTGTTGGAGTCATGCAATGAACTACTATTTGCTACAATTTGTGTTTTCAAATTCTTGCTGGAGTTTTTACTTTCAATTTGAGCACTTGTGGTTGATGGTTTACTAAATAAAATTAAATTATATAATACGATTATGTTGTTAAAATTCGAAATATTAAACGCATCATTTATACAACGCTCACTCTTTTGTATTGTCCTCGGTTGTTAACAGTGAACTGTTCACCATTGAAGTATATTCCTTATTTAGTTGCATCAACTCATCATGCGTGCCTTGTTCTATAATTCTACCGTTACTCAATAAGTAGATTTCATCACAGTGTTTTAGAAACTAAAATTTATAGAAAATTGTATTACTCGTTAATAGCACAATAAACATATAATCGAATATGAATGAAACATACTTGAACTTGATGCGTCACAAAAAGAACACATTTGTTCTTGAGTGCTCCAAGAATTAAATTCTTAAAAATGTATGATCCCACGTGAACATCTACTGCGCTTAATGGATCATCCAACAAATAAATATCTCTATGAACAGATGAAAACAGTGAATATTTTTTACAGTGTAAATATAGTATTGATTTTCATTGAGATGAAAAATATTTTAAGATGGAAAATTTCTTACCGGTTGGCATATAGTGCTCTAGCCAGAGCAACTCTTTGCTTTTGACCACCTGACAAATTAATACCTCTCTCGCCTATTTCAGTATCATCTCCACCGGGTAACATGTTTATGTCTTCTTTTAAGTTACATACTGTAACTGCATGATAATATCGCTTAGCGTCAAACTGATTACCAAATAAGATATTTTCTCTAAGCGTTGCGTTAACAATCCATGCTTGCTGACTAACATAGGCGCATGAACCTTCTCTCAAGAGTTGCCCATTAGTCATTTTCAATTGTCCCAAGGCAGCAAGTAATAGACTAGATTTTCCACTTCCTACGTGGCCACAGATTCCTACTAATCCGCCTTTTTCTGCCTCAAATTTAATTTGAGAAAGCACTTCAACATATTGAGTCCCTTTAGAAGGTTCAGTTAGTTTTTCTAATTCGACTTTGTTCCTCGAATCTGAAGAGTCTTTTCTGAAATAAAATGTCGAAAACTGACTTCGATAACATAGCAAAAAATAATAATAAATGTTTTAGTAATAACATAAACTCACGTTTTTTCATTATTAAAATTTTTTGATTCGTTATAATTTTGATTCAAAATCGAGTTTTCATATACAAATGTACCGTTAGCAATGACTACCGCTTGTGATTTTACAACTGCTTTTGATATATGGCATGTGTGTTCTTCTAGAAGTAATACATTCTGCACAAAAAGCACTAATCATTAAAAGTGTATGGCAAAGTAAAATAGGAGAAGTAATTTCATTATACAACAGCATGTTTCTTAAAAACATTTTCTAGCTGTATTAATAATTGGTATATTTATCTCTTAATCCATGCAACACATATTTATAAATATTGACAAGTGTTCAGAGTAATCCAATCAACGTAATTACTTGAATGTTATCTGCATTACTATTAATGATAATTTCATGATCATTTTTAATTTCTGAAATTTTATCAATTACAACATATACCTTTCAAATCATATTTCTTGTTTGAATAATTGATTATGTTAATTGAGTTGCCCTGTACTTGCCAGTACGTTTAAAATAAAAATCATTGCACACTACTTTGTTCAAAGCACACAACTAAAATGAGCAAAGAAATTACTAAATGTTATCATGCATAAAGCAATTATGTAAATTCACTATAAATGTTTAAGCTGTTGCAACATACATAAAGTGCAAAATAAGTTTCATTAAAGTACAGTGACTACATGCTACAAATCCAGTTTTCATACCATTCTGATGTTCAATTTCTCTTCTCTGTTACATACCAAACATGAAATAAAGTAACTTACAAAACATTATGCATTGTAACAAAGAATAAAAGCATTTTTGTTATCCATTTTTCATTCACAAAGCTACAAAGATGCATAGAACTACTGGAAATGTATTTACATTAATATAATCTCACGATACCATTAGTACTATTAGTAATCAATAGTGACAATAAATAGACAAAAAATAAACACCTGCAATCTGTTGAGCGTTATTTTTGATTCAGCGATCTGAACTAAGGCCACTTGTAAAAACATGAAAGAGGAGCGAAATTGAGAATTGAGTAACGATATGAAGGGAAACACCTGGAAAAAGTAACATATCCCAGTTTAAAGTAATGGTATTTATCATTATTAATTGTTTCTAATTGTTTCCAAATATTCTTTGTGCGTTAAATTGTAAGTGCAAGTGAAGTGCACCCCAATCTTAAATGGTTAATATCACAGGGAGGAGTAAGAGAAAAAGCAATTGCTTCGATATATTATTTATACACCATGCAGTACTTTCCCCTTTACACTCACAACTGTTATGAGAAGCTTTTACCATTATACTAAACTGATATTTAAAATCAGCTAGTACATATTATTAATAATACAACTTTCGTGCAAATCCTATGCATTTTTCCCATCAAATTATATTAAGTTAAGTGACTTCCAGTATAAAATACATGAAAGCTAGTTTCCTAATAAAAGGTACGAAAATTACGTGTATAGATTAAATTATAACTGAAACCTAAAATTCTGGAATATTTTAATATTAAATCATATTAGATTAAGTCACAAGTAAGTTC